AAAAGTACTAAAGTAAAACGTTTCTAAAAGGGTGTGATGTTCTTATAATCTTGTCCACGGCCACGCGATTTGCTGGGTACATGTCTGTTTACATTTGGTTTGGAGGTTAGGTTAGGGCTAACTTTCTCTAAAACCCCCCTTGTGCCCCCTCCTTTGGGTGTAGCATCTCATTAGTGGGCCATATTCTGCTGCATCAGCAGGAGGATCATCTGAACCGTTTCCGAGGCTTAGTAACAATATTTCTTTGAAAAATCAACAAATTTCAATTTTTTTGAAATTTATTCGGGCCTTGTGAAATTTCATGAAATTTCACGTTTTGAAATTTCATGAAATTTCAAAACGTGAAATTTCACTTTCCATCTCTGAGTGTAAGACATAAAGACGGAGCGCTAAAAGCAAAAAATGAAGCTTTTTTTCAATCATCTCTACTGAGAGTCAAGACAATTTGAATCCATTTCTGATTGGTTCCCGTATTTTAGGCCTTCACAGTGTCACAAACGGGAATAAAGATTACAGATTCACAAGATTATAATCAAAAGATTATAATTCACAAGATTGCAAAGATTATAATCTGGAATGGACCGGGGAATTACGGGTTCGGCAAGGAACAAACGGAATGAGGGAAGGAACGAAAAAAGAAATTCGAGAATGGGCCGATCAAAGATTACGAAAAACGTTCAATTTCTGTAATCTTTATTCCCGTTTGTGACTCCATGAGGGGTGTTGTCTTGACTCTCAATGTCAGTATAAAGGGACTCTAACCTATACTATTGGCCAGAAGATTGGCGGCGAAATCGGGACAAGTTTGAAATTCAAAAGGGCGGGAACTAAATAAAATTGCGGAAATAAAGTATTTTAGGTTGATTTTTGCCCAAATTCACTTACACACCCACATTTTTATAACTTTAGGTTAGTTTTGGTCCGTCGTCGACCGATTAATTTCATTTGGGAGTAACGGTCATCTACGACTGTAACGGCCTGTTTGAACCGGCAGAACCACCATGAGTAGAAGAAAAACTAACTTTATTTGAAATTACTGCCTGTTACCGAGCAAAAGTAGGTGTATTATAATAGGACGCAGACCCAACTTTCTTAATATATTCGTTTTAGGCATTTAAAATACGTTTCGAAGAAGAAATGTGGAAAAATCAAGAGGACAAGTTCAAATCAAATTTCCGTTTGCCGCCATGGATTCCCGCGCTCATTTACACACTCACACAAGCACCCAGCGTCAAACCAGGCTTCACTTTTTCCCCGTGCTTTTAGATACGAGCACTCCGTCTTTATGTCTTTGGAAATTTCGTAGCAATGTCACTACTTTCGGCAAAATAGTACTCATTCGAATCTAAAATGTAACACAAAAAACCGTCCCGTCAGATTACTCAATTGACTTTTGAGGCTATGTTTATGTTTTGAACCTATAGATCATATTCGATACATCAAACGGGTGAAATTGTATCAATATCGATTGGTTCAAAACATAAACATAGCCTCAAAAGTAAATTCAGAAATCTGAGAGAACGGGTCTTTTGTAACAGATTTTTTATTCTTTTGAGTATCAAATGCCGATGCAAAGTGATAGGAATTTTCTCATTTTCAGCTTTTCCAACTCAAATCCTAATAATTTGGTTTGAGGTTATGTTCTATTGTTTTGAACCAAATGATACATCGAACCGTTATCGAATACGGTCTATTTGGAACCAATCGATATCGATACAATCTCACCCGTTTGATGTATCGAAAACGATCGCCATATTGAAGATTTGCTATGACGTAGAGAAGTACACGGACTGGCGCGCTGTTCAAAGAAATTGGCCTCTGGCCAATTAATGCGCAGCCAGAGTTGCTAAAAGAAATTTCATCGAATGAAATTTCATGAAATTTCTTTTTTCCCAATGAAATTTTTTTCGACCGACAAAATGTCAAAAATGCTTATTTTTTCAAACAGAATTTGTTTTTTTTTTCAAAGAGAATAATAATATTCGTCAATTAGACCAGTTGGAGCGCGATCTTCTCTCAGCTCTTCTCTTCTGGTCTTCTCTTACTCTTTCTCTTCTGGCAGTTCTGGCTCATCATGAGGAGGGGGACCGGGGACCATAACCTCAAATTTCAAACTGTTAATTTCTGAAAAAATCAGAGACAAATGAAAAAATCATTTAAATTGTTTCAAAAATAGTTCAAGATCCCTCCCTTTTGTACCAAAAAAGAAGGATATACTATTAGGGGGTACTAGAATTCTTTATAGTCAAGAAATTTATTTTGCTCCAAATATGAAAGCTAACGTCTTACTTTATCCGTAAAATTTATTTTGGTGTTCAACCGGTACGGCTGTGTGTTCAACCAAAATTTAAGATAAAAAATTCAAAATTATGTTTTTGTTGTTTTACTCAGCTTTCTGGGCATTTCTAAAGTTCCCTTTCACAGTTTACCACATGCATATAAATGAACTTAAGGAGATTCATAAGTTTCAAGGGTTTAATCCTGAATTCTGCGTGTTAAATGAAATTTCAGGAAGTTTCATGAAATTTCATTATGAAGTTTCTTCTTATAATCTTTCATGAAATTTCTTAACTCTGTGCGCGGCGCAAGCGCCGCGTACCGGCGCTCCGCGCCGACATGTGGGGAGGCTTCGCCCCCCCCCCATCATGGTGCGAAGATTGCACAAGACTTTGTCGCTTTAGAAAAATACTGCCAATTTCACAAAATCATAAAGTTTGATTGGAATTTTGATCGCAGGGTAATAGTTATGAAATTTTTTTTTAAACTACTGCACTTTATTGTAAATATCTTCGAGATACGTGATGAGTTCTAGTAGAGTCCCTTTATACCCAGAGTTAAGACAACTCGATTATCAGCTGACTGGCAGCCGGCCTTGGCTGGCCATGGAGGCCGAAACGAGTGCACCCAAACAAACGATATTGAGGGATAAGGATCAGGAATCCTGCGATGTCTGTCACACAAAAACAACAACATCAACAAATTGATCAATTAAAATGAAAATTAGATTGGTTTATGAATAATTTCTTAATCTATTTTCATTTTAGACCGATGGAAATAACAATTTACTCTTGATAAACCACAATTAGGTAATATTTTCATTATTCTTGTTCACATTCGAGGTACCGCCATCTTGGTGCACTCGTTTTGGCCTCCATGAGCGAGAACCAATCAGAATTGGATTTTTTTTAGGCCACTTTCAGCCCAACCAAAAGTGAGTTGTCTTAACTCTGGGTATAAAGGGACTCTAAGTTCTAGAGTTTACATTTTTACTAAGAGATACGGAAAATTTATTTCAATGACTTCTGAATAGGCCCCATGGTTGGTTGTCCTTTTTCTCCTTTTAGTTGTTAAAATACTGCAATTAAAAACAAAAAACAAGTTTTTAGTGTATTTTCCGAAGGAAATACGACGTTTCGGTGCTTATTATTCGCACCATCTTCAGGCAGAGACTGAGGCGACAAAACAAGGAAAAACGAGAAATAAACACCTAGTCCTCCGACCCAACACGGTCAGGGAAGAGAGGAAAAGATAATTACAATCTAACGAACATTACAAACATTGTTGCCTGAGTTACAGCTATTAATAAATGGTCGACAAAACAAAGGGTAACAATTAAAAGGTATCAGTGCCTACCAAATAGTCCTCAAAATGGGAAAATTCCGTCCGTGAATTCAGAGCGTTGTTATTTTTGAGGATGCTGAACCCTTCTAAATTTAAACGGACCTGCTCATTTTTCTCTTGTTTTAGCACCCTGGTGTTTTGTTTTTTGTTTAAAATAAATAAAAATTTTTTGTTTAAAATAAATAAATGTACGGTTAAACAACTCATGAAGTTCGCTTTATTAAACATAAAATAACCATGAAATTAGAATTTATATATGGATGTATGTATGTATGTATGCATGTATGTATGTATGTATGTATGTATGTATTTCCGCCTTTTGAAGATTTTTCGATTTTTGAGTGGTTATATCTTTCTTACGTCGAAAGATATTTTGACCAATTTTTTTGCATTTTGTAGAGACTCATTAGGACTACTATTCTGCGAAAAAAAATTGAAATTTGAGGCAATAGATTTTGAGGGGTGGGGCTCGAAAGTGGGGGGAGGTGAAATCTTGTCCACTCGATAACTCGAGCGAAAATGAATATTTTGAGCTGAAATTTTTATAGGTGGTAGTTCTCCCCTAGGACTGGTCTGGTATTGAATTTGAGCTAAATCGGCCGAGCCGTTTAAAAATGGCGAGCTTTGAAAGTTTTAGGCGAGGGGTGCGCGGCATAAGGGGAGCCGGCCGGAGCAGGGCCGCACAGTGGGTCGGGGGAGAAAGTTTTTGGACAAGCTGATCGTCGAACAGTGGGTCAGGGGAGAGAAGTTTTTGGACAAACTTTTCGTCGCACAGTGGGTCAGGGGAAGGAAGATTCTGGACAAATTGTTCGTCGCACAGTGGGTCAGGTTAAATGATCTGTTCTTGAACAAAATCTCACCATTTAACCGTCACAACCTTTCGCAGCGCGTTCGCTGGCAACGTACGCAACTACTATCTTGTGCTCAAGAAATTAATTCATTCCCTTACAGATTGATCCCCCCCCCCCTTCGGAAAATACACTCTTCCCGCGGTGGACGCGCGGGTCGCTTAAGAAGACAGAACAACTGGAATGGACACTCAAACTAAAAAGCGCGCGCGAAGCGCGCGTCCTGGGGGGGCTTGGGGGGGCGAAGCCCCCCCAAAAAACCGGCGCGGAGCGAAGCGGAGCGCCGGTTTTTTAGAGAATGTTTTGGCTAACTTGTAATCTATGGGGTTAACTGGGAATGCCCTCTTTAATCCCATTTGGTAGTGTTCAGTTTCGGAATTTCAGAGAAAAAAAATCATAAATAGTACTCAATTGGAATAATTACCAAAGTAATCACTGGAAATAGTACATAAAACTATAAATGAAACAATAAAGCACTTACCAAAGCCTTCCTCAAAAGCTAGATATGTCATTTGGGCTTCAGTTCACAGCACCGGGAATTTACTTTTCGCCCAACGAAACACGTTTGTAATCATAACCTCAAAAAAAAAAAAAAAACAAAGATTATCAACTCGGCGCAAGTACACTAGTAAGGGTCTATAAACTGATGAAATTGACGCGTAGTTGGTTCTGAGTATGCCCACCAGGTGGCAGCTAGGTCGAGTGTTCAGTTAACCCGCCGTGCCCACTGAACCCCAGGCCATAGAGAAAAAAAAGGAGGTGTTTGCATCTTGAGGATTTGTACCCACCTACGTCATCAATGTAAACAAGACGCTCGTTGAGGGTTATGTTGACGCTGTAAAAACGGACCATAATGTCCGATTTTTTTACTTAAATCAACTCTTTATATAATTTCAAGCACTTTTTATAGAATGACTTTTTCCCTTAAATTACACCATTTCCAAGAAAATCGACAGGATAAAAACGTCGCTGTACCCAATGACGTCATCAAAGCTATAGATACTCTATGAAAAATTCCAAGATGCCCGAAATGCAAACACCTCCTTTTTTTTCTCTATGACCCCAGGCTACCCTAGTTCCGAAAAACTCCGCCACGTCGCGCTGCTAAAATTCGGCTCCGAAATCAGTGATTATTTAAATATTACGATATATGTATTAAATTCTAAGACTCATAAGTTCTAGCAGCATACGTCTGGAACGCTTAGAAACAAACGCGAGCTTTGAAAGTTTAATGATAATAGTTATAACTTGATCCCAGTTTCCTTTACGGGATATCTGTAAGTGCGAGAGAGATAGCTCACGGTATGAAAGAGAGTTATCTGCAGCTGCTGACTCGCGATTGGTTGTTTAAGGTCATCATGCTTAACCTACTTTTTCCTGGGATCAAGTTTCAGAGCTTCAGAAATTACTTTTCACGTCGTTTTTAGTGCCATATCAATAGGAAGAAGAATGTTATGGCTAGAACTTATGACTCTTCGATTTTAACAGAAATTCCTTTAACTTTTATAAAAGCTCAAGGACTCACGTGAGGCTCTACGGACTCTAATAGCGCGCACCAAACAATCAAAACACAGCGGTGGCGCTCATCGCCCTGCGCCGAAAAAGTTCTTACTACGTACCGCTGTAGATTCACCTTAAAAAAGTACCTATTACGAAGCTTTGAAAAGTCATTCTTTCGATAAATACATTTTTATTATCTATTGATATTTTTTATATGGTGTAAATACTAAGTCACGAAATGAAATACCTGCAGTAACAATGAATTTGATTTTAAATTGATTAAATTTCGAATAAATTAAGTTCGTGGTGGTTTGTGTCATTATGACAAATCATGAGCATACTTTTCACAGATTAAATCAATCGAAAACATACCTACCTAAAACACTAAATTTGTGAAATTATGCAATTGCTGAGGGTACCTAAGTTTTTGGCTAAATTAATAATGAATGATTTAAATGGATAAGCATCTGAAAAACTTTAGTAGTAATAATGAAAATTACAATAAAGATGTAAAACAAAAATTAAGTTATGTTCTATTAATAAACAACAGAATCTATGAAGGGGTTGAGCCGCAAAGCAGCCAGGGGGCGAACCCTCTGGTTTTTAAAAAAATTCTATAAGACACTATTAAGCTACCTATTCGTTCAAGAAAACCCTTTCTGGCTATTTTTTACGGAAAAATTCAACTCTTCGGTGAAATACACTTGAATAAATCTTTAAAAAATTACAACTGTTCCTGAGTTAGGTATCAAATTTTTTCTCCACAATTTTAAGTATTAAAAAAGTATTTTGGACATTTTAAGGGTCTCATATCTCTTAAATTTTGCTGAAGTCTTAGGTAACTCTTGTAAATTGTAATGGAGAAAAATACCCGTAAAAGGATTCTTGAAACGAACATTTTACCAGTTTTCTTAAGCAGTAGCATGGATTGCAATACGTTGTAATTTAATCGTCTGAAAATTGCAATTTAGTAGTGTGCCGTGAAATTGCATATCCTCTTATTAGAAGGCGCGGAAAAATTGCAATTAAATCGCAATTTATCGCAATAAATTGCGATAAAATTGCTATTTGCCGTGTGTAGAGCGGATTGCCTACCCTACTTCATAAACTTTTAAGTATAACACAATAATATCACGGTAATTATTGCAGTTTTACAATGTTATAAGTTTCACAATGTTTTCAAATGTTAAGTTAACTTTAACTGTTGAAATTTGTTATTTTAAATTACCAGTTTCAGCATTGGTGCAAACAGTGAAACTGCTTAATGTATTGTTAGAATTATTAGAAGTATAACGCATTCTATTTTCCACTCATATACTGTAATTCATTAATTTGTTTGGTACTAGTATATAAATTTGGATTTTTCCAGAATTATAAGAACTTATAATTGCAGTTTCTTAAAAAAAAAAAATTCCGCTACTTCAGAAAAAAGTACATTTTCAATGAATTTTTATTGTTGAAAAATTCAAATTTTCCCTTAAAATTTCATTACTTTGGTCAATGTTCGTAAATCCATATTTTTTTGTTGATAAAAATGGCAATTGTGGAAAATTCGGAAATATCCGGTAAAATGTGGCAAGGTTCAGAAAAATCGGATTTTTCGCACATTTCGGCACTGTAAAAAGCGCCGTTTTCGATGAAATTTGGCAGCGTCGGTTGTTTCAGATGTTTTAATTGAATTTAGGCAACTCTGTAAATCGAAATCAATCGTGATTTAGTTGCAATTTTGCGTCACGATTTTATCGCAGCGATCGCGGAAAATCGACCATTTGTTGTCCGAAAATTGCAATTTTATCACAATCAATTGCAATTCAGTATCAATCAAATTTCAATTCTTACATTGAAAAATGCTACTTGGAATATGTCTTTTTAAAAGTGATATTTGTTGTTTTAAAAGTGTGTTCAGCCGTCGTAACTAAGGGAACGTTTGCAGTTTTTTCCCTCTTTTGACGGGTCTTTTTAAAATTTAAAAGTTTTCAATTTTTTCTACACACCTAGTCGTTGCAATTAGAAAGAAAGGCCTATATCCTAGAGAACCGAAACGTGGCAGAAAATTTGAAATGTCGCAGAGTGAAGTACGATGCTTTAGTATTTCCACTATCGAAATGCTACTCGCCAATTTCACCGAAATTAGGTGTATACGATGTCGATTTTGGAAGGACGATGATCGCGACTCCTCGCTCGCAGAAAGGCCGAATTCTAGAGCGCGCAAATATTTACAAACAACGAAAATACACAACTAAAGCAATAATTGGAAAACGTAGCGTGCCGAAGAGCAAGTCAAATGAACTGCTCCTCTCCTCTCACAGGCTCATAAAGGCGTTGGAGAGACCCGAATCGAGGCGAAAATCAGCCACGAGGCGAGTGACACGAAAGACAGGGTCTTCGTTGTTATTTTAATTGCTTGTTCGATAAACCTTCCCGAATGGAGTTGCCGCGCCGATTATCAGCCATGTGGAAAAGTCATCGTCTAAGGACCAAAGTAAACGAGCTGTGTGAGCTCTGTCGTCGCCGCTTACATCCTGCCGCTTGCCGCACGATTGACAACCGCACTGCATTTAGCTTTTCTACTCGGTCCAGGGAGTTATGGCACTTAGTAAATTGGAATAAAAGGCTCTATGTGGTAGCGGCCTCCCACCCTCGTCATCTGACAGTGCGCCGAGTCAGACTCTCGACGCACAATGGTCCGCGGTGTGGCAGTGATGTGCCACAGGCTATATTTTAGAGACAGACTAGTTGAAGGTTGACTTAATCTCTTTTGAGTGCCTTAGACTTTCATCGGAAGCTTTTAATCTTAACATGAGTTTTTATACAGAGAATCTTAAGACAGGGATTTTGGATTGGTAATCAATATCATCCACTGTGCGGAGGGGAGAAACCGGCGGCGTTGACAAACGACTAGGGCGAGAGCGGCTGCATACGACCGCATCGTGCCTTTTACTCTGTTGTACCAAGTGCCATAACTCGCTGCATAAAGAAGAGTTTCGCATTCTTGGAGGCACATCTCCAGCCTCCCGCGCTGTCCGTACCGAACGCTGCCGTTTACAAACTCCTGCGATGGCAAATTTTCCGACTCCCAAGTAGGAGTGATCGCGATGAATAGCGATTTTATCGGTTGATTATCGCGATTATATCGGTGACAATTTATCACAATATTATCGAATAAAAAATAGCGATTTATGGCGATTAAATCTCTATACATCGCAAATTTTTGTTTAATAAAATCGCGTTCAATTTTCGTCGATAAAATCGAAATTAAATCGCCATATATCGCGATTTTTGTTGCGATAATATCGCGATAAATTGCTGGGCGATAAAATCGTGATTTTATATAGTGCAACAAGATCGAGAATAATCGCTCAGATGTCGATCTTAGCGATTTTATCGCCGATAAAATCGCAAAAAATCGCGATTTTTCCGCTGGTAAATGCTACTTGGGTAAAGGTAGGGACTAAAATTCAAGATCCATCCATATAGGTCAGTTATTGCGCAGATTTTCCCGCTCGGGGTAAGCCCCTTTCCATTGGCTCGTGACGTCAACATTACTGCCGCGAAAACCAGAAATGTCGGAAACAATGCTTTTCTTACGGGAGAGAGCAACTTTTTCTTAACGAGTCATTTAAATTTCTTACTTTTAAATCCTTTGAAACTTTCTGAGTGTCGAAAGAAACGTTTAGACATTACCTAGCATCCAGGGTTTCGATTTTGCCGAATTTGTGCTGTTCTTTCATTTTTACAGTTTACTCTGCATCAGCCATTTTTATCCGCGAATCTATACCACTAGATGGCCTGTTACATCGCTGACTTCAAAAATCATTTAAAAATATAAAAACGCAAATTCAGCTGAATTTAAACCCTGGACGCTAATGTCGAAACGTTCTTTACGACACTCAGAAAGTTTCAAAGGATTTAAAAATAAGAAATTTAAATGATTCATTAAGAAAAATTTGCTCTCGCCCACAAGAAAAGCATTGTTTCCGACATTTGTGGTTTTCGCGGCAGTACCTAATGCTGACGTCATGCGCAGAAGATTCTCATTTCGGTTTCGGGAATGACTGACCTATATGGATGGATCTTGCTAAAATGTGATGGTGTCGGAACCAGAATCAGGCAAGCATGGATCTCCAGTTTGGCCTCTACTTGCCTCTGAGATGTAAAGGTATTAGAAGAAAATAGAAAAAAATGAAAGCGGAAGTACAGTAGATCTTAAAAGCGTTGCAGTTAATCCTCATTGTATACTTAATTTTGGATCACAGATTTTGAATCAAAAACATTTTTCAACAGGATCATTGAAAAAAATGGAGCTCTAGCAATTCTTTTTTGAAGGGGGAGGAGGAGGGCTCTTCATTCGAAAATGTCCCCTAAAATAGGGAAAACAATTAAAGGTACCTATGCATCTGATTTTCGGTGTTTAAAATCTAGATTAGCGCCTCTATCCTTTAAGGCAAACAGTTGGCTGAGTCAAAAATGTTTTTTCTTGGAAATCCGAAAACGGCTAGGGCTCAAAAGACACGGGTAGGTACAACTCGATTAACAGCCAACCCTGTTGGTGAGTTCTGTAAATTATTTCAATCTCAAATAATTCTCAGTAAAATAGTCTAACGAGACCCTGTATTGGTCGTAAATTTCCTTGAAATGATATGTTACTTGAATTAAGTACCTAAACTAAGCTGTTGCAGAAAAACCTTTTAATGACATCTAAACTACCTACACCTTTACTACCGTAAATTTTGCCCTCTTCAATGTTTTTCGTGGTTATTCGTAGCTATGCTAGTTTAAAATGTTACTGCCGTAACTGACATTTTTGTCAAAAGCTTCTTATCGATGTTACGGTGAGCCGCCATCTTGTTTGTTGATTTACGGTCGTAAGAGCATCATGAAGCCTAAAAACTCGTTGACCAATCAAAAAGCGGAACAGTTTTCCTGTAGTAAAAAGATACGAATGGCCATACTCTGTCTATAAAGGTATTCTAAGTTCCGGAGGCTCATTCCAATGCACCGCGAGGTTAATCAAGTATAATAACTATATTTTTCACCGCAAAGGACACTAAAATCGAAGACCGCGCGTACCTAGAGAGCGTTCGTATGCTATCAAAAATTCATCACTGATATGAAAATTTTTAGTTCACCTTGAGAAACAATACCAAGTCACCTATAAGTGGTAAAAAGTTTTCCACTTAGCGGTAAAAAAGTCTAGACTCCTTAGCGGAAGAAAGTCCACCAGTGAGCGGCAAGAAAAATTCATCCGATAGTCCTTTTCGGTTTAGGTAGACAGTGGTTAGTGGTCCGTTAGTGGCCAAAAGTCACTAAATAAAGCTACCATAAAGGAAGGAAATTTTCCGGCAAGCGGCCAAAAGTCATCACGTAAAGTCATCTGCGCGGTAGGTAGGTACCTACTAGGAGGATTTTCTAATTAGAGTAATGGTAGGTACCTTCCAACGAATAAGGTTTTATTTGATGGAACCGTACTGACGAACAACGCCAACCTCAAATATATTACACAACAAAAGGTTGTTACGTGATTTTTCAGATTTCGGTTCTCAAAATTTAGGCTCGCTAAAGATGATCTTATAAAATTTGGACTCCACTCATTTTTCTGCGTCCGAAGTTGTAGGTAGGTATAGAAATCCCCGATTGTAATAATTTTGTTTCTGTTGAACTTTATTTCTCCAGGCTGACTAGGTTGCGGTGAAATAAAGGGACGTCACGCAGAGTCATTGAAAAGGCAGGTAGGTATCATCGGCAGCAGCCTGTCATCTCCTTTACAAAACAAACGCAGGGTTGAAATACAAACCGCGATTGGAAGCGGCGGTCTATTACTTACGATATCCGACACCCTATTCAGATTTGAAGCCGCATTCACACCGTAGCCGGGTCGTTTTTGCCACCGGTTTGATTGAATGACTCCTCGGGAATCTGAGGTCTTTCAGTAATTGTCTCTTGTTAGTGAGCTCCCCTCCGACTGCGGCTCAAATCGATTTGCTCGCTTGTCCGCCTCTTCTGTGTGAGTATCAATACAGATCCTTCAATTGGTTTCCCTCTTTTTAGTCCAGTTTATACACCAAGAAAGTATCGCTCTCATCCCAAATATGAGTCAATTAGCGCCTATGAAGAGTATTTTCTTGTGGATGGTGACTAAAAAATCACAATGATCTTACCNGGGGGGGGGGGGGGGGGGGGGGGGGGTATGTTGAAATTTGCCTTCAACATCAAAATCTGCGTGCGAAATTGGCGCATTTTTTAGATTCTTGCTTCAAATATTACTTCCCCACTTAGCGATAGAATATTTGTGGGGTATACGAGGGATATCCAATGACAGACGAAGAATATCCTCAGAATATATCCTACCGCATGCTCTACGAAAATTCTATTGAAACAAGTTAGATATTTTGAGGGTATCCTCCGGGCAAATACTACACGAATACCCATAGAATATTCGAGTAAATCTCCTGTATGTAATGCAGTTTGTTTCAAGAAAGGAGAAAATCCGCATATTGATGAACATGATATGAAATATTTCACTGAGGAATCAAAGTGCCACAGCCGGAGAATCTTGAATGTTATACTGCCCTGTTACCTATAAGTAATAAGTTATGGGATGCTCTCACTGTGCAAGAAATTGGTTAGTTACGAAGTGACGTATCGTCGTCACTAAGTCGCAAATTTTCTCCTTTTAATTCCTGAAACTAACTGCACTCCAGGGGATTTCCTCAGACGGAGCTGCAATATTCTGAAGGTTGAATCCACCTGTCTTAGATGTTCACATCATTGATTTGAATTGAATTAATTTGAAAAACAAAGGAAGCGTACAAAATTGACCAAATATCCAGTGGGAGCCCCTGTAAGCAAAAATCTTGTGCAGGAGAGCATCTTATTTACTAAGAAGTAAAAAAAAAAAAAAAAAAAAAAAAAAAAAAAAAAAAAAAATGGAAGCCAAAACTCAAAACAAAAACAAATTAAAAACAAAAGATTAACACAAGAAAAAAAAAAAAATTGGGAAAACATTAAAAACTGAAAAAACAACTAAGTACAAAAATCAAGTAAAAAAATGAAAAATTAAAAAAAATGAAACATTCAAATGATGAAAATTTTTACAAAATATATCTAGCGAGTATTGATAATATTTTGACCGAACGTCTGTCCACGTGTACTTCATATTTAAAAACCATCCTACACGAACACGATTATAAAAAAAACTAGCCGGTCTGGGCGCGCACCCGTCACGGCTGAGCAAGGGGCCAGGTTTTCGTAAAACTCAATAGTAGGAGGTATTTTTCGACGAGAAACTCGATTTTTCCGTC